AGGTTAAAAGGGGGATATAGGAGGTGGTTAGATTTAGGGGAATGGGAGGATAAAGGAGGGGTTGCTGGAGTGGGAGGAAGTCAAGTAATAGAAGGGTAAGGTAGCAGGTAGAAGTAAAGTAGAGGAGTTAGAGATAGGATGAAAGAGATATGCACTCACATAAACACAAATATTAGGAATAGAAAGGGAAAGTATATGTTTATATATATGTATATGTATGTATGTGTATATATGTATAAGTGTATGTATATATCAATACCAATACATAAATATATCCAATGCTCATTTGTAGCCTTGGGGTAGTGGGTAGGGGGGAGGGAAGGGGAAAAAAGAACAAAGTAAAAAGTATACAGAAGAGAAAAAAAGAAAACCTACAAGGATGCAAAGAAAAGATGGGCAGTTTTAAACATAATGTACAGTAGTTAATATATAGGCTTTCTTGAAATGAAAAGTTATTGCTATGTATTTTAAATCCTCTCCTATGTTCTGCTGTGCACTGAATTTTTTTGTTTTTTCTTATTTTATATTTAAGTTTATGTTTCCTTGTCTTTTATTATTATGTGTTTAAGTTTTAGTATTTGTCTAAAATAAAAAAAATATTCTGAAAAAAAGAGACAGAAAGTATGGGGATGGCAAGAATATACACTGACTCATGAAATTGGTCATAGAAATATGTTAATTCTAAGACAAGGATCTGAATAAAATCCAGTGTGGCCAGTTCTCTATGCTAATAAGATTGTGCAACAGATTCAGTCTCTCACTGAGTGGCCCACCTATTTCAACATCTTCATTAATTCCATTCCACTCAATGAACATTTATTAAATATTCACTTTGTATAAAGCACTAAGCATTGAGGGAAATACAAAAATGTCCTCCCTGCCCTCAATGAAACAACACAAATTGGCAACCACAAAGGAAAGGACATAAAATAGCATAAATTAGAATAAAGGCTAATCAGATACATTTCCTCAATGATTTTCCCACTGGCTATTGGTTGTCTTTTTATTAAGAGGGTCTTCATTGATAACTATATAATTCTACTCTTTGATACAATACTTTCACGGCTTGACTCTGAGCATTCTAAATCTTGGATCATACATTTGAAGCTGGCAAGGACCTCTTGAAGTCATCTGGCCCAACCCTATCATTTTATATATGAAAAAATAAACTTAAGATCTATAGGAGGAAAAACACTTGCCCAAGGTCATACATACCATAAGGGGCAAAGTCAGGATAGGAACCCAGGTCTTTGATTCCAAATCCAATGTACTCCCCATTATAGTATCTGCCTCTTTCATAGGATCATTAAAAACAGAGATTTAGAAAGGACCTTAGTCGTATAATTCATCTTTTTTTTTTATTTAGTCCCTCCTCTTTATTTTACACAAAGGAAAAGGAGGTCCAAAGAAGTGAATGGTCTTCCCCAAAGTACCATAAGTAACAGGGTTAAGATTGATACTGGATTTCAGTGGAGTGGTAGTCACTCCATTATTAAACATTCATCTTGGACTCGTAGAATCTATTCATGTGACTCCTTTTGAGGAGATGATTTTTTTTTTAAATAGACCCACCTATGACTTTAAAATCAATATGATTTATAGGCTAGGTATGGCAATAGTAGAAGAGGGAAGCCAGAGTTCTTTAATAATAAAACAGTCATTTTAGGCCTCTGCAGATGGTCATAAAAGAATGAAAATAATTGGTCTCCATCTACACTGAAAGAAAGGCCTTCTACTGGAAACTCTGAAAGTTAAAATGTTTTCTTTTAGAATATGAAGGCCCAGACTGACCTTCTTTGGAAGCTCCACTGGATAACTTATAGTCTCATGAGCCATTTAAGAGTAAAAGGGGGTAGAGGGAGAAGACAACATTGATATGGAGAGTTTGTATAAGCCTCTATACCTTTAGGGTTATATGCAATTTTAATAAGGAAATATAGTCCACATTGAGTGCATTATGCAGATGGTCCTTGATTTCTTTTGGCTTGCACATATTGAAAAAGTATGTTAGAATTCAACATAAATCTGCCAAATGGTGGTTACTTGGGCTGGTAATATGTTCCTTATTTTCACTTATTCTGAGATTTAGTCACTGTAATGGGAGCAGCTGAAGGCATAAAAGTTCATTCTCTGATATCCCCTTTCATTCTGTTCCAAAGAATATCTACGACTCTTTCTTTTCCTTGTTGTTACAGGGCCTATTCTAGTGGTCACCTTTCCAAAATCCTTTAAATCCAAACTCATGAGATCAGAGTTCAATCTAATCTATTGATGGTCCCTGAAAGTTATATGGGGACACATATGGTCTATAGCTTACCTGTGTATCTTAGACAGGCAGAAGAATAAGAATAGGTACTAGGCCTGTGATTTCATTAGTCCAGGGAAGTTCTAATTAAGGAAATTCCTTTTTACAAATCAAAGTCCACAACTTATCTGAAATTTGTATTATTAATAAATTGCCTAGAAAACTGAGTGGTTAAGTGACTTGCCCAGGTTTACACAGGTAATATGTACGAAAGGCAGAACTTGAAATCAAGTCGCCTTAACATTTAGAGAGTGGATATCTAGGTGGTGTGGTGAATAGAGCTTGGGCCCTGGAGTCAGAAGGACCTGAGTTCAAATCTTGCCTCAGATACTTACTAACTGTGGGACCGTAGGCAAGTCCCTTCACTCTGTTTAGCTCAGTTTCCTCATCTGTAAAATGAACTGGAGAAGGAAATGGCAAACCACTGCAGTATCTTTGCCAAGAAAACCCCAAATAGGGCTGTGAGGAATTATACACAACAGAACTGACTGAGTAACAACAACACGTATAGTGCTATGCAAATGTTGGCTTTCATCATCATTATTATTACTATTTGCCTATTCTAAGGCTTTGTATTCCATACACCAGTGATAAGATAGGATTGATAAATTGCATCAGAGCACTTGACTTTCATTAAATAACATAGGGTGGGGGAAGACATTTTGACTAACCAGTTGATGCTGATTCAGCTGACACACAGAGAAGGACTCATCCAAATCAGATAGTTAAGGGTTGTGCCTTCTTTAGAATGCTGAGTTTGAATGACGGTTAGCCAGAAGTAATGAGATCTTTTAACATTTTGAAAAATTTTCAAAATATCAAGGTTATTTTCTGCAAATGATTGTCTTAGAGCTAAATAATCATCCATACAGGAATCTTTCGGCATTGAGTAGTCCTCATAATCAATTCCAGGTGCTGGGTATGTGATTTCTTTCCTAATAAGAGGGGAAGAGGCATTTGTGTGCTCCTCCCAGATGACTATCTAGGCCTGACAATGGAAAAGGTCTTTTGTTAGTATATTCCTAGATTATTCAAAGATGGCCAGGGTAATTGAGGGAGTTAGTGGGAGAGGGATTGTATTTCAGTCTTTTTTTTTTTCCCATATCCTATTAATGGGGGGAGAAGCATGGTACCTTCATATTATTCACCAATATTCAACAGAAATGGAGTAAGTACCTACTATGTCTGAAGCATTGTGCTTGATGTTATCATAGTTACAGAGACCAATAAGACAGTTTCTGTCCCCCAGGGGTTTAAAATCTGGCAGGGGAGATAAAGCGTGTATATGAATAGCTTTATACAAAACATAATATAAATGAAGAAAAGTTCAGTACTCTGTACAAAAGTTCAGAGGTTCAAGTTAAGCACTATGAGAGCTCAGAGGAAGAAGGGATCCTTTCCTAATGGGGTGATCAGATTAACTTAATGGAAGATGTGACATCTGAGCTGAATGGGTAGAGTTTCAATAGGGGGAAAAGGGAGGGTTGATATATTCCATACATAGGGTATGATGTGACTGGATGGGTGGTAATGGAGTTTCACTGAACCTGACGAATCCAAGCTTGGTCACTTACTAACTGCATGACATTGGGCAGGTCACTTAAGTTCTGTGGGCATCAATTTCCTCACTTGTAAATGAAAAGATTGGAGTAGGTCACCTTTAATTTGATCATTACATGTCACATGCCCACAATATCATTCTAGAAACTAGCCTGTTGCCTGAAATAGTCAATATCCTTCTAGGAGCTTAGCTGAAGGCAAGAGGAATAAAATTTGAATGAAAATTTCTAATGGCAAGAGGTCTTGGAGTGGGCTGGGGTTTGGTATTAGTAGAGTGGTCTTTGCAGTGGGAAACAAGGAGTATTTCTATTTTTTAATTTTTTGGCACTAGGTGGTTGGGGGAGTGGGAGAAGTCATGTCTTCCAGGAAAGAGATCAGCAAGTTATGAAATCCTTATAAGAGAGTCATATTTTAGTTAATGTGAAAAAAGGGAAGGGTTATGGACCTAGAGTGGTAAGTAAGAAACTTCAGGGGATAATAATGATAACAATAATAACAATAACAATAATGAAAGAGAGAGAAAGCTAGAGATAGAGAATTTATAAAACCTTTTAAGGTTTGGGAATCACTTTACATGAATTATCTCATCTGATCCTCACTATAACCAATATCCCCATTTACGAGATGAAGAAACTGAGGCCAAGAGAGGTTAAGTAACTGAGTGTAAATGTCTGAGGGAGTATTTAAACTCAGGACTTCCTGATCCCAAGTCCACCACTCTATGAGCTACCATATGGTCCAACCCTCTTATTCTACATGTGAGAAAACTAAGGCCCAGAGAATACACTTTGGAACTGAGCATTGGAAGTGAGTTTTGAACCCAGGGCCTCTGGCTCGAGAAGCAGTGCTCTTTTCATTATAGCAGGTTGAATATTTCAAGAATGTAGGGGAATTTGAACCTAGGGCACAATTCCCACAGGGCATAGTGGAATGGGCTAAGAGATTGGTGAACGAGGTGGAAGGGACTTAGGGGGATTGGTGGGTGGGAGCAGAACTGATTTAAATTAAGGTTGAGGGCTCATGAGGAGCAGGTGTGCCACTTGCAGTAAGGTGGTAAGACTGGATGAATGAGAATGAGAGGTGAATTCGTTTTCCCTGCTGCATCAGCAGAATTCAATCTTTAAAGGTCTTGCAGAGTCAGTCAGTCTGTCCTAGAGATCAAAATGGCCTTTGGAACGTGGATGTTTGAGAATGGCTGCTGATGAAACCTTATCTCCAGGTGAGTTTTGATTCCTTGATACTAAATATAGGGCTTCTCAGCTCCAGGCAAGAGAAGTGTGGAAAAGGTGGAGTACCTGTGAAGACTCTTTCTTAGACTTGCTTTGTCTCTAGAGACAGTATTTAAAGTAACCATCATTAAAATGTGTGTGAACTCTAGTTCACGTTTGTTCAGGAAGAACAAAATAAAACAGCGTTCACCTTGAGAAATAAATAGAATTTTTTGAAATGGTAGGATTTAAAGCATTTCAATAAATATATAAAAGAGTTGGTGATTCAGCTTTTCTAACAGACATTAATACTAATAATAGAGCATTCTATACAATAGATTTATCCAGTAGTTGTAATAGTTTTATCTGGAAGGTCATCTAATGGAAAATATTATTCTTTTCATAAACCTGCAAAGTACATTTTAGATTTTTAAGATTGCCATTACCACTTTTCATATAAATTTTTATAATGTTGCCATAAAATACCTGCTGGCTTAGTTTACTGTAGCTTAAGCTGATGCCATATATGCCTGGTCAGATGCCACAAGACTGGTCTATCCATTAAGCTAAATCCCTTCATCTTTGAAATCAAACTGGCAGGATATGATATATTTGGGGTTCTTCATTTTAATTATATTTTAAAGATTAATTCATGGCTGATAAATTGTTATGTTTATGCATTTCTGACATCAGATATTGCTTGTTCTGTGTGTGTGTGTGTGTGTGTGTGTGTGTGTGCACGCGCACTAAACTCTATAAACTAGCACACATTCACAGCAGGAAATAACAATGAACAAATCTTTGAATTATTGCTCTGTTCAAACATCTATGATGTAACTGAAAATCAAGCCACCTGTCAACATTTGTGGAGTGCTTAGTATATTTATAATTGTGACATGCATTTCTTTTTAAACTAAATAAAATTGGTGCTTAAATATTTATCGAGTGAATGACCCCTTAAATTACCCATTTCAGTACCAAGAAAGCATCAACTTCTGGGACTGTGCTGTGGAATGAAAGGCATGTAGATCTAAACATATTTGTGAAACATAAATACCTTTTCATGTCTTGGTGGACAATAATGATTTTAATTATATTTTCAACCTCAAAAAAAAGTATGAAAGATTAAAGAGTTCACTAATTGTTCTTCCTGTTTGGCATGAATTTGATTAATTTTACTGTTGTGTGTCTTTCTATATATAATCTATACCTATATAGATATCTATATATGTGTATGCATACATACATGTATGTATTTCTCTATATATGCAACGAGGTGATGAAATGGCCAGAGTGCTGGATCTAGAATGTAAATCCAACCTTAAACATGTAGTAGCTATGAGACCTTGGGTGAGTCATTGAAGCTCTGTCTGCCTTCTTTCTTCATCTGTAAAAAGGGGATGATAACAGCACAAACCTCTCAGAGCAATCTGGTGATGTAATACTTGTAAAGTGGTTTGCAAATGTTAAAGTGTTACATAAACACTAGCTATTATCATTAGCTAGCAATAATAATGAGTAACATTGATGTAGCCAATGAGAATTTTGAACTGTTTTATGTACAGTATCTTATTTGATCATTGCAAAAATTGGAGGAGGTATCATAAATAGGGATTATTTTCTCCATTTTACAGATGAGGAAGCTGAGCCTTGGAGAGGTCATGTTATTAAATGAAATGCCCAAATAAGGCGATATATGTGGAATACCTGCAATATAAACTGTTTAAGAAGTAAAAATATTGTCAATGAATTTTTTTATTATAACCTTTTGACATACTTGACTAGTTTCAGGCATCTTAGAAACCACCTGAATGATGTTAAATGGTAAAGTGAGTTCTTTATTTTCTGTAATTAAAAATGAACCATATTTTGCTGCCCATTTGTGAGACCTTCTCATTTGGGAGGTGATGGGATGGAAAGTAAGCCCAATTGGGAAAGTCAGACAAGCTATTCCGGGATGCATCTGAAGTACTGTTTCAAACTTACTTGCTTTATTCTTGTATACCCCATGTATACAAAAATCAAGATGTTAGACCATTATGGACACCTGTGAACACTTCAGTCTCACCACAATCAAGACATAAAGGGGGTAGTGCCAATACTATAGCAATACGGTGGAATTGCTACTCCATACTCTTCTACATTCTCTACCAAATACATGGACTCACAGGGTCTTGGATCACGGGGTCATATAAAGGACCTTGGGTGTTGTCTAGTTCAACCCTCTCATTTGACCAATGAGGGAGCTGAGGCTCAAGGAGGTTAAGTAATTTGGCCCATGTTCCATGACAAATTAAAAAAAGGAGCTCTGAGTCTTGAATCAAAGTTGTGAGGCTCCAAGGTTGGCATGTTGTCCCTTGTATCACATTGACTTCCACAACAATGCTCAAATATCTGAACAGAGAAACCATATCTTCTATTAGCCTTTAGTCCATGGAGGATGTTTTTCCAACCCCTTATTCTGATTTCTTTTTTAATATAATTTTAGGAACTCTCACGTTCCTGGTCATATCTTTCAAGTGTTTTTTTCATAAGGTACACCATATTAAATATAGATAGTACTTTACATGAATATAGCCCCAAATCACCTTAGTTTTTTAAACAGTCAAATCCTATTTACTCACATTTAAAATTATGACCACCTAAAACACTTATTATTTTTGGAGTGATTTCAAACAAATCAGATCTCCTCTATCCTGTTCGTCTCACTCTCTGGAGAGCCTATTGAGAAATCAAGCTCCTCTTTAAAAATTCAAATACCATTTCATACGACTAAGTCTCTCTCAACAGCTCTACAGTTATCCCTTCCACATTGAAGGCTTAGCTCACAGGGCTGATGGCAACCCCAAGCTGGAAGAGCAACATATAATGTTTTGGCTCTCCCTTCATACTAGAGAAGTCTGATTTTTTTTTCTTTTTTCTTTAATCGGAAGTTTATAATACCTTATTGTAAAATTTGGTCATAGGCTCTGTGTTGTCTACTGGCCTTTGCATGTTGCCTGTGACTTCTGCAAAACTTCCCAAAATCCCCATTGAATTTCGTATGCTGACCCTCAATATATGGAAACTGCGATGGAAAAAGTTGCGATGTGGAAGGATAACTGTATATTCAACAATAGAATTCAACAGCTATTCAGTTAAGTAAATGAACCAGGTCACCAACACTCACAGAATGGAGATTCTGATTTCATTAAGAAGGAAATAATAGTATTAGAACATGGGTATGGTGACCATGTTTTACAAACCAAATTTAGATGTGTAGTATGACAAAGAATTTTCATTTTGCTGCACTACATTAAAACAAAATTTTCTTGAAACAGAATTGTTTTGAAATCTGAGGTGCATGATTGTCCATAGAGATGGGTGACCAGAAAGGAGATGAGGCCTGAGGTAGGTAAAAGATTTATGAGATTATAGGCCATTTAGTCTAATCTTCTCATTTTACAGATGAAGAAACTGAGGTCTTAATCAAATGACTTGATTAAAATCATGTAAGCGGTAGAGATGGTATGAGAATCCAGGGCTTCAGCTTTCTAGGCTCATCATTTTGCAACATCCATGGAGGTAATTGACAGCTAGCCCACAGTGGAGGTGATAGGAGAATGAAAGATGTGGGCTGAGGAAATTAGATGAGAAGGTACTAGAGACAAGTGTTGCTTATACAGTGTAGTTTTGCTCAGGGCCATCATCACAGTTGATATGTTCCTCAGTTTTTCCATATGCCATCTTTTGTATGGTGCCATAGGTTTCTGATGCTTGAAATAAGATATTTGAAGTAACATGAATGGTTACAAACTTCAGCCTGATTTACATGGCTGTACTACTCTGTTTTCATTTAACACAGGCAGTATTAGTGCTTAATGTGTCTCTTAGAGGTTGGGCCTGAAATAACTCTAACCATAAATTCATGCCTCCGACTTGGAATGCCAGAACTGTACCAGCCTCATGACAACCCTAAAGAATAGGTACTGTTATTTTTTTTTCCATTGTGCAGTTGTGGAATTTGAGGCAAACAGAGGTCAAGTGACTTTTCCAGGGTCATATAGCTGGTATCCAAGACCAGATTTTAACTCAAGTTTTTCTGACTCCAGGCCAAGTGCTTCATCCACTGGGCCATGTAGCTGCCTCCTCGAAAGAGGGTCAATGACTTTTAAAGGAGAAGCTGTCATCCTTAGAGCTTAAGTATTTTGGTCTGAAATGTAAAAGTCAAGAGACAACATCTGTCTTGGCTCACCACATTCCCATCTCACCATCTAGTGAACCTATAATGATTGTCACTCATTGCATTCCTGAGCTCTTAAGTATTCATAAATTTAGCAGATAGACAAAGCCCTTCTTAATACCTCTCAGGCTGGGCACTAGAAGGGCTACTTTCTACTTGCTTCTCAGTTCTTTTCTCCCAGATAGCTCTGGGATGTTTCTCAGATGTCCTTCCTTGGCATATTCTGCTCCCCTCCCCTACAAAACAGTGACACTTTAAAAAATGTCCCTCCCCCAAGTGCAGCATTAAAATGACTTTAAATAAATTCTTTTACGTTAAATGCCCTGGGCAATTCTCTTCCACAATTACTTTTCTTGGGTGCCTACAGATGGTAGAAAAAAACAAACAAACCAAAAAACATCAGAGCAGAAAAACTGACAAGCAAGAGAGACAAATACACTTTCTGGTTTAACTCTTTGTATTTAAATATTTAGTGCTTTCCTTGAGACAACACTTGGTTTCCAGTGTGAAAGGTATTATGTTACTTAAGTGCTTGAAAGAATGAATAATTTCACTGATATGGATCCTCCCTTCAAAAGTATGGAATACTGGAAGCCTTCCTTCAGAGCTTTTAACATGTGGGCTACAGTGGCATATAGTGGACATATGTCATTTGACACTGGCTCTTGACATACATCCAATTTACCTATTTTTCAGTCATGCCATTGGGATGATGTCTTTGCTACTTTTTATCAACTTGTTATTGGTAACGTGCTAAGGCATACTTATGGATGCCACACTTCACTGCATTATCCTTTGAGTCACCCTCGATCTTTAGAGATTATGGTGTGCCATATCCCTGGGAGAATCAATAAAACCTAGGTTTTGGTTTCAGAGAGCAGCTTGGAATCATTGAAGATGTTACACATTTTTCCAAATGTAACGCAGCCCTCTCTTTTAGAATCATTAAGTTCTGGGCTCCACTTGTCGATCTGCTGTGCCTTTTGAAGTTAAATGTCCTGATGGAACAGATCGGTGAAGTGTCTGTCATCATCTGGACAATAGACAGCTGTTCAGATGCTGTGATTTGTGGATGATATTCTGCTAAATCCCTCAAGCTCTGGAATACTATGTAGCTTATTCAGTAAGATCCCAGAGGAAGAAAAGTATTTCTCAAAAGAACTTGCCCTGACTACCCATCTACACAGTAGAAGCCAAGTAGATGAATAATAATTATCATCTAGCATTATATATAGTATGGTTGCTTGTGGCAAGACAATTTTTTGTTGAAAACTCCTCCCTAATTGATTCACTATCCTAGTCATCCCAGAGACTTTTGCAAATCTGCTTATTCTTTCTCAAATCTCCCATAGCTTATGCTACTCCCATAATCTCTGCTGAGTATCTTGTCTAATATTTCACTAAAAAACACACACACACACACACACACAAAATCTGCAGCCATTCACCACAACTCCTTCTACCCTTTTGATCATCCTATATCTCCCAGATTGCTTGTACTGTTGTCTCTTCCTTTAATCATATTTTACATTCATATTGGCCCTCTTGCCAAAAGAAACCCCTCTACTTGTACAAGTGACCCCATTCTATCCTATTTTGCTGGAGTAGATTGTCCCCTCTATTATTCCTCTCTCTCCAATCTTAAATTGCTCCCTGTTTTTTACTTTTTCCTTATTGCTTAAAAAACTTGCCCATGCCTCTTCCCTGCCCAGGAGTCATGTGCTGATAGAGAGTTAAAAACTAACTCTCTATTTTTTTTTTTCAGTGACACATTTTTAAGGTTAATCTGCACTTTACATTTTATGTATCTTTTTTTTAGCCTAGATGGAAAAAAAAAAAACCAAACCAAGACCCATTTTGTAGTGTTTACCAATTTCTGAGGTACAAATCCTAACACTGAAAATTTAACAGTTGGCTCTAGGAAGTCATTCAAGATGGCACCAGCACATCTTTGCTCCCATCCAAAGAAACCCTCACTTGTCACTGTCCTTCCCCATTAGCCATATAAAAAGAGCATTATAAGGATTTGAGTAGTGGTTTGTTATCAGGATAATGGCAAGGGAAAAGTCAGATGATTGATATTTTGAGACTGGGTGACTGGAAGAATATTGGTGCTGTTGACTGAAACTGGAAAATTACAACAGGGCAGAACAAGCTTTAGAGAAGAGATAATGGTTTGATATGTAGTAAGCTTCATATGCAGCTGGGCCATCCAGGTGGAGATAACAGCCAGAAATTATAAATGCAGAGCTAGAGCCAAAGAAGGGAGGCCAAAATGAAAAGCAATGATTTGTTGGGTCCTTCTAATGAAGGAATTAAATTATTAGGCTATTACCAGGGTTAGAGTGTAGAAAAAAGGGACAACAGTCAATCAGTCAGTAAGCATTTATTTATAGCTCTTTATTTGCTAAATGAATGTGATACAAAGAAAGATGAGGACAGGATCCTCATCATCAAGGAGCTCACAGCATGCAAATAATTATGTACTAACAAGATAGATACAGAGTAAATGGAAGGTCATCTCAGAGCAAAGATGCAGCAACAAGTAGAAGGCAATGCAAGAAACCCTAGATTCCTCCAGTTACTTCCTAAGGTAGCCTTGGGTAACCTTCTGAAGTTCTTTTGGCTTGTTTTCTTGACTTTACATAAGGAGATTTGATTTGTAGTCTAATGGTCTCCTATAGCTATGAGTCCATAATACTATGAATCAATCAATAAGTATTAGTTAATCACATATTATTTTTATCATTCTTTTTTTAAAATTAATTTATTTTTGGTTTTCAACATTCACCTCCATAAGCTTTTGAGTTCCTAATTTTTTCCTCCTCCCTTCCCTCCCCAAGATGGTATGCAATCTGATATAGGTTCCATATATACATTCCTATTAAACATATTTTCACATTAGTCATGCCATAAAGAAGAATTAGAAGCAATAGGAGGAACCACAAGAAAGATGAAAAGAAACAAAACAGAAGAAAAAGGGGGAAAAAGAGTAAATAGAATGATTTGATTTGTGCCCAGACTCCACAGTTCTCTCTCTGGATGTGGATAGCACTTTCCACCATGAATCCCTTGGTGATGTCTTCGATCCTTGCATTGCTGAAAAGAGCTAAGTCTATCAAAGTTAGTCATCATATAATGTGGCTGTTACTGTGTACAATGTTCTCCTGGTTCTGCTCACTTCACTCAGCATCAGTCCACACAAGTCTATCCAGGTCATCATTTCTTATAGCACAATAGTATTCCATTACATTCATATACCACAACTTGCCCAGCCATTCCCCAATTGATGAGCATCCCCTCAATTTCCAACTCTTTGCCACCACTGAAAGAGTTGCTATAAATATTTTTGTCCATGTGGGTCCTTTTCCCATTTTTATGATCTCTTTGGGATACATCACTATCTAGTATTTGACCCAGTATTGCTGGGTCAAAGGGAATGCACATTTTTATGGCCCTTTGAGCATAGTTCCAAATTGCTCTCCAAAATGGTTGCATCAGTTCACAATTCCACCAACAATGCATCAGTGTTCCAATTTTCCCACATCTTCTCCAACATTTATCATTTTCCTGTTTTGTCATGTTGGTCAGTCTGATAGGTGTGATGTGGTACCTCAGAGTTGTTTTGATTTGCATTTCTCTAATCAGTAGTGATTTAGAGCATTTTTTCATATGACTATAAATAGATTTAATTTCTTCATCTGAAAACTGTCCATATCCTGTGACCACTTATCAATTGGGGAATGACTTGTATTCTTATAAATTTGACTTAGTTCTGTATATATTTCAGAAATGAGACCTTTATCAGAGAGACTGGTTGTAAAATTTTTTTTTCCAATTTTCTGCTTCCTTCCTGTCTTGTTACTTACTGGTTACGTTGGCTTCGTGCAAAAACTATTCAATTTAATGTAATCAAAATTATCCATTTTTGCATTTCATAATGTTCTCTATATCTTGTTTGGTCATAAATTTTTCCATTCTTCATAAATCTGACAGATAAACTATTCCTTGCTCTCCCAGTTTACTTATGGTATCAGCCTTTATATCTAAATCATGTATGCATTTTGACTTTATTTTGGTATATGGTGTAAGATGTTGGTCTATGCCTAGTTTCTGCTGTACTATTTTCCAGTTTTCCCAGAAGTTTTTGTCAAATAGTGAGTTCTTA